GGTGTGGGATCCGAAGCTCCGATCTGCGTCAACGATCAAAAATCAAAGATGTCGTTCTGTACGCCAAACAGCTGAAGATACGGTGGGCCGGACACGTAATGCGTATGAATGACAACCGATGGACAAGAGCCGTTAGTGACTGGATTGCTCGGGATATCAAATGTACTGAGGGAAGACTACCGATCCGATGGTCAGAGTTCTTCAGAAAGAGCCTCGAAGAAAGATATGATGCTCGACAAGTCCCTAGAGCGAGTAGAACCGACTGGGCTACTCTTGCACGCTACAGGGAAAAATGGAAGATTTATTGGCGCTCGCTCGAGTCACTTGACGATCAACGGGACTACAGGTGATACAGGTGACAGGTGAATTAGTTAAAACTGATGACTGACTGTGCTATGATCGCGTATAACGGAGTTGTGTTGCTAAGCCTTAATAAGACGACATGGAAAAGTAGGTCGAAGTGATCATTTTCTCTCAACCAGTTAGTTGATTTAACGCCGATCTCCGCTCTTCAATGTTTCCTCCAACAAAAACATTTCATGAACATCTTCTGAATCGTTTGCGTTGTTAGTAGTCCCATCTTTATCACCTGCTTATACAGTTCTCAAATGTCGCAGTCAATCTCCTACATGATGAATGTTCCATTTTCAAATCAGTTTTCTCTGACAAATCACCAAGAGTTCTGGCCGGACGTAGACACTCGTGTCAAGAGTTTTCTGTTGAGAATCGCTAGCTTCGATGTCCTCTTCTAGTAAAAGATCTCTATTGGAGTCAGACTGTCAGATATTGACATCGATGGTGTGAACTATTTGCTCGAAGAATTGCATCTGTACAACAATGGATGGAAGGGTTTAGCTGAAGGTGAACATGAATGACATTAAGAACAAGTCGGCGACTAGATGAATCGTACGTTAGTTGAATTTTTAGGATCGGTCATAGTTCTTCTAGTAGGGTAATGCGGTAAAGTTATGAAACAATTGAAGTGCAAGACGATCCGGTTTAGACTCACATAGACTTACAGAGTATTCTAACATATAACCCCATGGCAAACCCCAGCAAAGGAGCTGCATCGCATCAGCATTATCTTTTCCTAAGAAAAATCCCCTAATCAGCACTATCTCTTCCCAAGAAAAATTCTCTAACTTGTATTTGATGGCGTCACCCACCCTTACTCGGGTAAAATCTTATCTCACTTTTTTTTGGTCTCCCATCCATTTAAGACTCTAGAAACACTACTGTATCATGTAATTCGATTCTAGAATTATTCAACTATTGATTTTCTGCGTGATATTATGGATAAGCCGTTCTGTACAAAAGATTGTACGTCCGGAGAATTAGATGATGTGAAGAAACAGGTGGAGCACCTCTAGATCTAGTGTTTTTCCACGGATGTAGGGACGAGTTCCTTTCGTAATTGGATGAGTCACATCATAGCCGAACAATCTGCGGAAAGAATTTGTTTTGAGAGAGAAATAAATTGGCAAAACTAGCACCTAAAGGACGACGTAATCTCTGTTCCTTGACAAGGGAAAGAAGTTATTTTGCTCCGACGAGATCATCAAAAGTGGTTGATGTGGTTGCCTACTCAGACCTAAGTAGCGTCATATGAAAGGACTATTGATTAAACAAAAGATTTTTAATCCCTGCACGATTCCGTTCTTATTTGCTGTTGTCACCACGACGACATGAAAAGACAACAGTTACGGGCACGGGAAAGAAGAGCAGTTATGTTTCGTTCCGCTTTAACCACTGAGTAAATTGGAAATGGTATAAGTCATCTTTATATCGTCTGCTTTTTTTTGTTTCTTGACAGGTTAGAGTTAAATTAATGCAAGGAAAATTCGGAAAAAAAATCTAACTAACCAGTTACTGGAATAACAAAAAGTGAAACGAAAGTAGTGTTTTCAATGGAAAACTAGCATTCTGCGTATATAGTAAGTTTAGTAAAGAATATATCGTCGTTCAGACATTTCAGAGTTTCAGACGACATTCTTCACTCTAACAACCAATCAGGTAACATTCCGTGATGGTAATTTTTTTCCTGAACTCTATCGAAAGTCCTTTAACAGTAAAGCGGTATTCTATTCTTATAGTGATAAAATACACTGGGACAATTTGACACTTGGACGACCCGTCCTCACTTGTTGTGCTGGCTCCAGCATAGCTTCCATTTTTCGGCGTTTTGCTGCTTTAGCCATTGTGGCTTCTTAGAGTCTCAAGGTTAGCCTGGCCAAAGTCTGGCTCCGGTCGTCAACACTGCAAGGTGGTCGCCGCCGTTGTGGATCAGAGTGAGATTTGCCACCATGCGACTAATTTAATACCAGGATGGTGGTGGATCCTGGTATTGGTTTACTTTTAGTTAGGCTTCCTGATGGAAGTGCCGGTCTCCTTCTCAGCTTGGGGGACCCTGTCCGGAGGATGAATACCCCCGCTGTACATCGCAGTCTGACACCCAGGAACACCTCCCAGACACGATGAGGCGGTAAACCGTTGGGAGGTAAGAAAATACAGTACTAGGTAACTTCATAGTCATTCGAAATTCTTCTCACTAAGCACCACCTAGGGTAGTATCGATTTCGGTCCTAGTGTAAATTCCCTTAATGTACTTAGTGGATAATATTTATCCTCATGCTCTGAGAAAGTTTTCCTTATGTATTATGGGCGAATTATTCTGTGAAGGTATGCATTGAAATTTTTATATGTTGCATAAGACATATGCATTTGCATATTGCATATGTTGCGTATATGCATATTTCGTAAGTTGGACCTCTGAGGCCATCATCTGAGGTTGTTATCAAGGTTATGAGGTTTTTTTTGATTTCCCCACTGACCAGGCGATCTCTAATAACGATTGCAGATTTACCAAGTTAGTCGTCGACTGACCATCGTGCGATCAACCAACGTTCACTGTTTGTACAGCATTCACGGCACTTGAGAGTCGCGTCTTTTGAGTGTCTGTTGATTGTTTGTTAACTGCCACTGTTGTGTGAAAGATGCATGGCTATCTGGTCTTCAGATTTTACCTGTGTAACTTACAATATAAGCAGTGTACAAGAAAACAACGAAAAGAAAAACTTTTGCAATAGTGGTTCGTTACAGTAATCTATCATGATCTGTTAAAATTTGATTCCGCAGTCTGTTCTTTTTGGATTTTTTGTCCATAGCTCTTACACTCCATTTATTACCTAGCAGTGTCATCTGTAACCTTGTAAACTATACTTTAGCTCGAGAAAGCGCATCAGTAGAAATTCCATTCGTCGCTGTCACGCGTCGTCACGAGGTGGCTCTGGTTTCTCAAGTGAGACACAGAAATCACAATATTCTCCATATGGAACATTCAAATCTTACTGTTCGTTTCCAAGAGATATCCACGAGTTGTTAAACTGTCTCTGCTGTGGAGTCTTCTCTCTGTGTGGTCTTATTTGAATATGTCACGCTCAGTTTCATTGTACACTTCTACGAGCATGCTTTATAATCTTGTTGCGATCCCAAACTCTGCCATCTGCCAACCTCTTTCTTGTAACACAGAAGAACACGTTTTGCGAAATCGCGAGAAGCTGAAGTGTTCAAAATGATTACTTTGCTTACTCACCATCGATAAGGCGATAAGACTGTGAAACATCAATTGTCACTGCCAAAATCTGCTTATGGTTTTCATCTACAAACTCGTAGATGCGCAGAATCAGCGATCAGTGTCGGACACCACGAATTATGTTCTTCTTTGTATCGTTTCGGATTCAGTTATACTTTCTATATACCAGTAACCATATGCAAGCGTCCGTAGGTGCTCCTGCGTTTAAACGAATTGCTTCTAGGGAATGCAGAACGATTTGTTGCTATCTCCAATAAATAAGTTATTTGTCCATTCCTTTCACGGCTCAAAAACAACCGGCAGGTATACCCCCAGCTCTAACGTCAGACTTCGACCAACTGCTCGTAAATAACCTTCTACTTTAAAAATGATGGAAATACTATACATGACTCCTCATACAATAACTTTGAGACTCCTTTTGTCCCTCAAAGTCCATTGGACAGCCGTGAATCGAATGAGAAATTAATATAAAAATTCTGTTGCTAGCTTCAATGTGGACTCGTGTGGCGAAGTGGTCGGAGGCACCCTGCAATGCACATGGGATCGATCCCCTCACCCATGGGCCACCACGCCTTCCATCTCTCCGGGTCGGCAAATTGGTATCAGACTTGTCTGGGGAACTTTATCTTTTTATCCTTTTACCTTCAATGACTTAATGACAAACGGGATTACATGACATACATGTGATTATAATCTATTTGAATAGGTCTGCTAAACTTTTACAACTTTGTCATCTATCATTCATTTACTTGGGTTAATTCTATCACAGACACTGAAATGAAGCCTTATTCTCCTTCGTTATCTACGTATTCTAAACCTTTTTCCCCCTAAAGATCTCTTCAGCCATTTATGAACCAAATTTATCTTTTCATTAGCAAGAGGTATTTCCTCTTTATTATTTTTAAAAAATGTCGTCACACCTTGTAACAGCCAGAAAACCGTTCTATTCACCACCAGTCATTCTTTAGCTATGCGGCTATCAATGTCTATTCTTGAAGATATTCCAAATATCACGTGCTTATGAAACTATAGTCGTAACTGAGTGCAACTAAATCTCCACTCTATCCTCAATTCTCGATCCTCAGAATCCAACTAAAAAAGTGCATTGACAGTCATAACCAATTCAACATTTACTACGATGCTTCAGTATTGTTTGGATTCATGTTACATGGTGCATTTTCGTTTGTGACAGTCTCTCAGTCTTCAGGGAACTATTATGCAAATGAACTTTCAAGGAAGGTACTTCATTGCACAGTAGGAATAGTGCTGCGGTCATTAGTAAAATCTCTGGTATACTTCTCATTCTCCTAAAGAAAAATGTTGTTATCGTTGTTGTATCTTTTCCTCTTTCTTATCATCCTCTAAATCTTTAGTCTTATCGTCTGTACATTCACCTTTTTAGACTCATATGAGTGTGGCGAGCTCGGTACCGGAAGGTGCCAGTCCGCCTCCCGAACCGCCACCTCGGGACTACAGTGACATGACGGTCGACTTTCGTGACGTCGATGATAAAGTGAATGTAGACGAAAAACTTGTGATTGATGGAGACGTGAAGATTAGGGCTCGTTTGGAGGCATGTCGTCAGGGTATGATACAACTTGAAGCACTACGGACTAAACACATAAAACTAATGCAGGTTGGTCATCTAGTTATTTCTACTTGAATTATAGTAAAGGAATGACATTGCTTTGGCGAATTCGATATTTCAATTATCACCTATATTTTTTTTCGGAACTCAAGTGTTCAAAATCGGTAATATTCTGAGACAAGGTGAAATCATTATTGGTAGTGCATGACGAAATCATCTGTTAGATATAAATTAGCCTTGAAAGAAAAAGACTAAGATTTATGAAAATAAGGGTTATTTTTAACCCTTTAGATTTAGATGGCCAAAAATTACCCAACACGGTTTTTTTGGTTTTTTCCCTTCATTATTGTTTATTCGATCAAGAAATGTCCATTATTGCTGTTTTCCATCCACAACAGTTCCATCTATTTACTTTCTTTCGCGAACGTACATTTAGATGCTTCTCCACAAAGATGAAAATAGGTTGATTTTATGACATTTTGAAAGTTTTGAAGTTTGGGAGCTTACTCTGAGCCACACAGAATCCTTTTAGACTCTGCGAATCGATCATCTCAAATATATCGATATCGAGTTCTCATCAAGTGAAATTCCAATGGAGATGATATTTCAGGAAATGCGTGGTCGACTTCCGACGATTCCCGGATGCGCAGACGTGCAGGCGAGAATCAAACGCACAGCCGCCATCTCCGATCGTTCGTCTCTTCAGAGCGTCGACAGCGGTGTCAGCTCACTCGGGCAGGTAACGAACAGCGGGACCAACAAGCTGAATTGCATGTGATGGCTTTTGAAAAGAAGACGATCCTAGGGAATATTTCTCGACCTTGGGAAAGAATGCGCTCGATAAACTAAATTTTGTAACATTTGAGCGCGATGAAATTTCTACTACGAGAAAATCATTACGGGCACGGTGCTGGTTCGATCTAGTCCCAGGCTCACCAAGCCTCTCATCTCTCCGGGATCCGGAAACTGGTGCCAGATTTATCGGAAAAGAAGGGTACTCTCTGAAAATCTAGTTGGGAACGTTCCAGCTCCTCTATCTCAGGACTCCAGAAAGAATCGACTCGAACAACATTCTACGACATTCAAGATGAAATGAAATCCTCAAGCAACAACTGAAGCCACATGTAAAAACTTGGAAGCCCTTCGTGGACGATAGATGCGAGGAAACGCATCGAATGTGAGAAGTCCTGGGCTCCACACCGTAGAAGGGAAAATGGGTAGTACAAAATTGAAAAAAAAGATTTTATGGATTTCAAGAGCCGTAGGATAGAAAATTTGAAGATATGCTGAGAAATTCCTTCATGTTTTTCCAAAAAACATAGCAAAATGAAGACTCTTTGTTACTGTTTCAAATAGCAGAGCAGGAAGTAGTAATAAACGTATTTAGTTAAAACCATAGATGTTTTCGGCGTTCATAACTTCCAATTGTAGTATACAGGTTCCGGTCCTCTTCCAATCTGAGCAAAAAATTTAAGAGATGGTCGGTTAAACAGGAAGAGAAAATTCCATCACATCGTTGCAGCTCTATTTTTGATTTGCGCTTTCGTCAACTCGCCGTGGGTTCACTGAAAGCGGTGCACGATTTTCCAATTCTCCTGACTGGTGAATTTAATGGAGCGGTTTCACTTTCTCAGAGCGGTTTCGTGTGTGGAATGCGGTGATCGTTTAGCGTACCCGGTTTCCAGCACCACATTTTCAGCATAGTACAGAGGATCGGCTCTCTTCTCTCACACTCCGCGAATTTCGTTCTCAATTATGATCGGCCAAGATGATGGCCCTCGGCTTTCGTGCGTTGCGTTCCCGATTTCGCATCGCCGGCGCCTAATTTATGACGATATGCACCCTCCTATCTGCTCGCCGCCACCAATACCGCTGTCGACACGATCTCGATAGAAATCGTCTCCAGCGACCGGATTAAAATCACCATCTGTACATGTGGTCCTGGTGAACGGAGATAATATGGCAGATGGAGTTCCGGAACTTGGTGCACGAAGATCAGGAAGTGGTTCTAAGCCCAATATGGTCAGATTGTGGAAATTCTTCTGATATCACCGTAACGCGTTGAAACATTGCAGAATAAGCACGTGGTTGCTAACATATGAACAGAACTCGGAACCACAGGTGGATCTCAACCACGACTACTCTTATCGGGGGCTCGAATGTTTTCTACCACGCTAACCGAGGCCCTCGTTTTGCCTATTTCTCAACCAGTTTTATCGCTAAAAAAGCACGCAGTGAATAAAGGTTAAAACATTGTGATTTCTGGAACAGCTTAAACCTAACTGGATCCAATACCGATTTCTGCTACCAAGATCATTCCCGTTGACAGGTGATTGCCCATAGCAGCACTATAGTAAAAGATGGGGAGAGAAATAGGCAAAACAAGGGTCTTAGTGGGTGTGGTGGATAGCACTTGAGGCACCGGAAAAGGTTACCGCGGATTCGAAACACACCTATGGTTCTGTTCGTTGCTCATGTCTCAGCACTCTTGTTTTTGTACTTCATATGGTATGAAAAAGGAAGAGGCAGGAAATAAAACTTAAGACGTTATGATCCCATCTTCTTTTACCAGTGCCGACAGCTGAACATCATAGCCACAGAATTCTCGACGGCATTTCTTCATATTGGTTCTTTTCTGTGCCACTGCTTTTAACAGCCTTTTCTTATATATATCCATATGAATGGATATGATAAATTTATGCGTAAATCTTATAGAATTTATGCGTAGATCTTATAGAATTTATGCGATCTCATTATATCTGTCTTTTATATACATATATATATATATATATATATATATATATAAACTCCGTGCTGGATATGTGGGACCAGGGTTCGATCTTAATAAAGCATCCGCTATCGTCACCACGATACTTGCAGACAATCCCGTCAACACGGTGCTCATCTCCTTCGATCAGTCATCGTTCCTCGGTTAGCTGTGATTCGGCGTGCAGCAGTCTGTATAGCAATGAAACGAGGTAAGCATGGTGATATTATTTGATGGTACTTAATTGCACCCAGTAGTCGTGGGTTCAGTAGTCCTTCCAACGGTTTACCGCCTCATCGTGGCTAGGAGGTGTTCCTGAGTGTCCGGCTGTGATGTACAGCCGGGATACATCCTCCTGGCAGGGGCTCCCGAGCTAAGAAGAAGTCTGGCGCTTCCATCAGGAAGCACAGCTAAGAGTAAATCAATACCAGAATCAACCAATATCCCGGTATCTAATTACTCGCATTGTGGCAAATCTCCATCTGATCCAAAAGGACGGCGACTGCCTGTGGCGATGAAGACTTGGGACAGACCTTGGCTAGGCTGATCTCGGGATTCCAAGGAATCATAATGGCTATCCAAGGAATTATAATGGCTAAACTATCAAAACTTCGAAATAATGGAGATTATGCTGGAGCCCGCGCATCCAGCGAGGACAGAACATCCAAGTATCGAAGTGAGTAAGTCGGGTGTGTTTCATAGCTGAGTGGGAGTAGTCACAAACCCTTAAAGATCTTAACTTGAAAAGACTTCAGAATTCCTGGTGTGGCAAAATGTCGGACATTCGATTTCTTGGTTTTATAGCATTTCTGGTTTCATTCTTTTCTACTCATAATTCTGTCGTAACCATTCATTGAAGCTCCATTTATATTCGAGTAAATAGTCACACTCGATGCCGCTTGTTTCATTATTCCTATGCAATACTAAAAGTTCTTGTTCGAAGTTTCGGATTTCAAACAGCCACTAGTGTGTACACAGGAAGAGAGAAGAAGGAAGAATGGCGGAAACTGGTTCGGCAAATAGCCGTTTCCAAAAGTTAAGAAACCGTAGCTCCTCGGAATACATGTAGAGGAAAGCGCGATTACTCTAACGATAATAAGGTCCCGTTTATCCTGCCCTTCATTTCAAATGAAGTAAGCGCAGCTATAAAACTTTGCTTAAGAAAGGCCGGTCTAGAGAATTCGGTAACCGTAATTGAAATACCGCCGAGAAATCTATGAAGCCAGGTGCTTCGCTATCGTCTGTATGACAGTCTACGTACAACGCAAAATTGTATAATTCGCACCAACGGTTGGGACGGAGATCGCATGAGTTCGGGTGCAGTTTATCTGCTCTCTTGTATAACTTGAGTGAACGAATACATTGGCGAAACGAGTAGACTGCTCTGTATCCCTATAAAAGAACACCTAGTCGGCAAACTTAAAATTAAACCAAGCGGCCCACTGTGCACGCATAGGGCAAACAGACATAACGGGAAAGATTTTGAAGTAAAAGTTACGATCCTCACAGAGGAGTCGAAAACAAAAGCACAAAATACTCGACTCATTCTGGATCAATTCCAAGAATCCCAAAGTGGATCGCAGGGAGGAATGCCTCATAATCACGCGTGATATTGGGAAATATATAAGTCTGTCATTCTGATGGGATGGGCTCATTACGCTTCCATGTAAATTCTGTGCAGTTGTTCTCTCCGCGACATACTCAGTGGAGGACTCATAGAAAGTGGTGAGTGTGCAAAGAAACTACTCTGTTTTCAATGTGATTAAAATCTTGATTTAACATTTCCTCTGTTTCGTTATAGAAGTTTTTGGCTGGGTAAATTGTTGTCTACTTGACCTTTCTAAGCTCTGAGGAAGGCGAAATCCGCGGGAAGGCCAGCTTGTTATTGAATAAAGAATAAAATAACAGCTCGTGTTTGCTCAACAAGAATATAAGGAATTATTTGATCAATGGCGAGATTAATAGATAGTGGGCCGTGGGACTTATTGTTCGACTTGTGACTTACGCATTCAGCATCAACGATGATCGAATCAGTTTGCGGACGAGCGTGACTGCTTCAACGGCGAGCTCATTCACTCTTTTATCTGAACGAACATGTCGACACCAGTATTCTTTTGATGAGAGCATGTCTCTTGAAAATTTCCTGAATGAAGAGGGACACTGTAAAATTCGACAAAGCCGAAAGCTGATGATTATCAGGCAGAAGGAACACGCTCAGATATTTGCTCAGCGACCAATGTCCTATCTTCCTCTAGTTTCCTGGAAGTTAATCGCATAGTAGTCGATGTCATCCTCGTCTTTGAGAACAACTTCAAGAAAATTGTTTACTATCTGTACCTGGTTATAATAGAATAGAATGAACCACAGTCTTGACCTTGGGCAATTCAGCATTCTGCAACACGTCATTGCCATAATGAAATTATTTAAACATTGAAGAATGGTGAACGTACCGAAGATTTTATCATTTGTTTAGTCTTTTTACTTCAACTCCGGATCAAATGAAATGTCAGACAAGAATTCTCGGATACTGTTTTTTGGAATTAAAAAATGGATTTCAGTCCTCCTCAAACCATGCCATACTCCACTTATCGTAAGCTGTCGATCGAACAGAAAGAAGCGGTACCTCAAGACACCGACACAACACCTATGATACCGATTGTAGTAAGTGGATACCTACAGGGGAAAAATTATCAATGTCACTGCACATTCTAAAAGAGCTACCACAAAGTAGTGAAGCTTCTTTGTTTAAAGGACTGTAGTATTCTATACTAACGCTACTTTTAATCATATTTTCTTTCCACACAGAAAACAGACAGGTTTTCATATAAATACACTCAAAACTAAGTCGACTATTTCACATGCAGTCTTTCAACTTGTAACTTGGCTATGTACCACAGCAATGTAAAAGCTAACTGACTGTCCTTTTCTCACACCTACTCTGCCAAAAATAAGAGTTATGCTAGGGTTCTTGCAGAATTTGTCGCCAATAGCATGAAACAAATGACTCGTGTTCTACTTCCTGGGTACTGACGAGAACTCCATGCTAAGAGAACGAATAGTTTAACACCACCTTGACTCTGGACTGTAGCAAAAGGACTTTTAGCGCTACACTCTTGAGGGTTACGACATTCATAAATAGTTCATTCTAGAGAGGAATACAGAGATACGTACTTTAAGGCGACAACAATCGCCTCCACAACTGGCTTACGATCCGATGGAGTAGTTCGTGCCTGGCGTCGACAACAGCATCGTCCGCGTAGTATGTTCGATCGCTCACCGGAACAGAGGTTTAGCAAATTTCATTAATCGTGCCTCAGAAACACATATATCCTGGTCGTTTAGTCCTCGTGGTGACTCGATAATCGATACAGTATCGTTTATGCAGATAACACCACCACCTGTGCATCGTAAGATTGCTGTCGTCGGACAAGTAAGCACACCAAGACCTAGTCTGCTATGTAGGCTACCATAAGACTTAAAACGAATTTAGCCACCTCGTTCACCTCTGGCGCCGATTCGCCTTGCCGTAAATACATCGCCACAAGCATCGCGACCGCTAAGAACTGCGCAGCGACCGGACATCGTAAAAGCTGCCAAGGTTGAGGTACACGCCCTTTGCCTAATCATTGTTGCCTTGTTACACAAATGCCTTTCCTTACCTAGAATCGAGTAGTTCCATTTCGATTCATCTGAAGGGAGAAAGAAAATATACTGTTGTCATTCAAATTCCCTCCAACTATCCACATCGTTCTGCCTTTGTCCTCGTGTGTCATAGTGCAGACAATCATAAAAAGACCTGATGTGGCAGAAATCGTGTGCACTATATCTCTTTTCAGTCACAACATACTTCAGAATGCTGACGTGCTCTTCCATGCCAGTTGTGTGTTTGTCGAT